CTCCTCCTCCTCCTCCTCCTCCCTCAAAACAAAACTAGTTTAGTGACACTATTTGTGCAAAAAAAAGAGGGCCAGGTCTAGCCCAAAATTTTGACAAACAAAAAACAATACAAAATTGGGTCAGGTTCAGTCCTGACCCAATTTTACAAAGTAGTCAAACACTCAGAATCTCTGACTCAAAATCTGAATAAATATCATTTGTCTCTTGAGTTGAAATAAAAGAAATAGAAAAGAAAATTCTATATTCTCATTGATTATGAAGAAGACGGTAAAACCCCATATTTGTACACTTTGTAATAAGAAGAAGGAACCTAGATAGAACTCTATATGTATACGCTGCGATAAATAAATATGAGATCTTCGAATATATACTTAGTTTGTGTACATAATGTAAGGATGGGGTTGAATAAAAATCTTCTACATCTTAGATTCAGCGGCACCATGTCATGCATATAGCATACAGCTAGCCATAGCTTGTGATATACAGATTGATTGAATATTTTTCAGTTAATAACGTGAACTAATGTTACCTTAAAATTTTGCTCAAATTCGCAAACTATCCTATGTTGACAAATACTTGACTTGAAATATCTTTGCTGCTACACAATCAATGAAAATAAATTGGACATTCACTGTGCACAAGTTGCTCAAGCCAATATATAAGTTCAAGGGAAAAATGCTTTCAGCCCCCAAATTCGTAACAAATATGCTCCCCCCTCCCAATACTTTTTCAACGCTCTAAAAACCCCCAAATTCGTAATAACTGTGCTCTGAGCCCCCAAAACACAAAGCCCAAGAATTTTACACAGGTAAAGACTATAATACCCATTCTCTCTCTCTAATATTATATTCGTAATAACCATACAATCCCTCCTCTCTCCCTCCTCCTCCCCCCACCATTTTGCCCTAGCCCCCTCCGTCCCTTCTGCAACCCTCGTGGCGGCCGAAGCTCCTCTCCGGTCTCACGGCTCGACCCCTCGCCTCTGCTCGCCGAGATCCTCCGTGTCCACCGCTGATCCCAGCGCGGCGTCCGCTCGACCCCTTGGCCTTTGCTCGCCGAGAATATTTCATGAAGCTCAGAACCTCAACCTTAACCTGTCCCTGCAGCCTAGGCCTCGTCCCGAGCACGCACGAGTTTTCTCGTGTAACTATTGCAGACGGACTTTTTACAGCACCCAAGCTCTTGGAGGACACCAGAATGCACACAAGCTGGAGCGCAACCTAGCGAAGAGGAGCAGAGAGATGGCTAATGATTGAATTGATCTCGTAATGACACGTGCGAACTTGATGTTGCTTTGTAGCTTCTGAAACTAATGCATCTAGATTTACTAGCAACAGAGTTTCTTCCTGTCACATGTTTTCTTTTTGGGATCTTTTTCTTTTTTTATTTTCCCCCTTCAAAATAAGTTTTCCTGTTCGAAAAAGAATGCCTCTTCTCTCTTGCATCAACGGTATTTTCTTTCTTCACGTTTAATATACATGTACCCAATGATAGTTATGTTTTCTATTTGCAGATAAGGTTACGGTTGTTAAGGTTACGGGTTGTTAAGATTACGGGTTGCTTGTTAAGGTTATGTGTTGCTTGTTAATGTTACGGTTTGCTTGTTAAGGTTACGCGTTGATTGTAAAGATTAAGCTTAACAACCAACCCGTAACGTTAACAACCAACCCGTAACCTTAACAATCAACGCGTAACATTCACAACCAACGTGTAACCTTAACAAGCAAACCCGTAACCTTCACAAGCAACTCGTAAAACCTTCATAAAAATAAAAAAAGGAAGGAAATAGAAAAAAAAGCTTTAATTTTTTGTACTTCTACTATAATAATTCATAACTTCATAAAATAAAAAGCAGTAACAATTCTACATTTTCCTTCAGAAAATTCATGCTTACAGCACCACATAAAACTGTGCAATGTATGATTACTTTCATTTTACCACTCAACATCACTAAGGAGGTGGACTGCCATGGTTTTGAGACCGTTGACAGGGTAGAGGAAGAAGACGATGATGCATACATTTGTTTTAGGTAGTGGGAGTGAGCTAGATTTTGTAATAATATTTCACTTTTAATTTTAATGAAATTTTCAAAAGCCAAACGATTTATGTGTTGGTTGTTAAAGTTACAGGTTGTTTGTTAAGGTTACACGTTGGTTGTTAAGGTTACGTGTTGGTTGTTAAAGTTATACGCGTTGGTTGTTAAGGTTTCGGGTTGCTCGTTAAGGTTTCGGGTTGCTTGTTAATGTTTCGGGTTGCTTGTTAAGGTTACGCGTTGGTTGTTAATGTTACGAATTTTCAAAAGCCAAACGATTTACGTGTTGGTTGTTAAGGTTACAGGTTGCTTGTTAAGGTTAGTAACCTTAACAACCAACGCGTAACCTTAACAAGCAACCCGAAACCTTAACAACCAACACATATAACCTTAACAAGCAACGCGTATAACCTTAACAACCAACACGTAACCTTAACAAGCAACGCGTATAACCTTAACAACCAACACGTAACCTTAACAAGCAACGCGTATAACCTTAACAACCACGGTAAATTTCCCTGCAGAAAAAGATGAATGAAGTATTTAACACACACGCACAAGTTGTATGAAAAGACATAAAGTACAATAATTTCCAAGAACGACAGCACTATAGATGATGGGGGATGATGGACTTGAGGGATGGAGAGGGGGGTTTGATGTGGCATCTGGGGGAGGAGGGATTGGGTTGGGAACAGAGGCGAGGGGTCGAGCGGAGGCCGCGCTGGGATCGGCGGTGGACACGGAGGATCTCGGCGAGCGGAGGCGAGGGGTCGAGGCGTGAGACCGGAGAGGAGCTTCGGCCGCCACGAGGGTTGCAGAAGGGACGGAGGGGGCTAGGGCAAAAATGGTGGGGGAAGGAGGAGGGAGAGAGGAGGGATTGTATGGTTATTACGAATATAATATTAGAGAGAGAGAATGGGTATTATAGTCTTTACCTGTGTAAAATTCTTGGGCTTTGTGTTTTGGGGGCTCAAAGCATAGTTATTACGAATTTGGGGTTTTTTAGAGCGTTGAAAAAGTCTTGGGAGGGGGAAGCATACTTGTTACGAATTTGGGGGCTGGAAGCATTTTCCCCTAAGTTTCAAATAGCTAACGCGAGCTACAAAAATAGATCTGAACTCAGCTTTGAATATCAGACATCATGAACACGCATTTCAATATTTCATTCTAGATCATCCGGAGAACAAAACTTAATTACAGAAAAATCAGAACAGAAACATCTGATGCTCCCTCTCGATGTTTTCGTGTTTCGTCTCTCAACTCTACGTCACAAAAGAAAGGAGGGTCAATATTTTATTTATTCCGAATCACACAATCATGAAGATCAACAGCAAATTGAGATAACGCAAAACTAGCTACCCTGCAAGAAGAGCTATTAGACATATCAGGAATTAATTGTGACCGGTCTGGAAACGAGGCATTTTGTTAGTTACCAACTCTTCGAAAGGCCGAAACGTACAAATTGTCTGTTAATACAGTATAATATTTATGAAGAAAAAAAGAAAGAACAGAGAGAAGTGGCATCCTCCTCAATCTAAAAAGACCACACCAGGTCAGCCTCATAAACATCTCATTCAATCAGCCTGATCAGTGTGCTGATAGAGACTAAAGTACTTGAATATATTTCAGAAGATATAATACGATAACCTACTTAGTATTACAGTTCTAACTGAGATATAAAGCATGAGAACCCAAGATTTAGCTTGACACATGAAGAGACAGATGAATTTGCTCTAACTATACTCTTTAACGCCACGCCATCAACAAACTAAGAAAAATTGGACCACCGTCGAAGCAGCAGCTTCTCGAACAAAATTTTGTGCATAGACGTTCTATACGCCTTATTAGATCAAAACTTCTTCAAAAGTAGAATACGCCTCACATCGCTGCATGAGAAATCAGCATAATACGCAAGGCCGAAAAAGATGCAATGAATACGCCTGAGAATCTCAAGACTGACGTCCAATGCGCTGCATCTGACAGGACGACGCGGGCCAAAAAAATAGTACCTCGGAATCTCAATTTGATTGCTTATGTGCCTCCCCCAAACTGATCGGGTGTCGTCGAGGATCACGATAGCTCTTTCCTCTCCCAGCACCACGTCAAGCCCTTTTTGTTTCGCTGTAGTACAATCTTCTCTGGATAGGATCTTGTTCTTGAAATAAACGCCCTCTGGATCAAGAAACTCAGCCATCTGCGTCGCGTATTCACGGGTGCCCATCGTGTATATGTACATATCGTACATGTTGCTCGCTTCTTTAAGAAAAGCACGAGCATTAGGCCTGAGCTTTATCACCATATCCTTCCATCTAAATATGCTCCTATCTCGTTTACCTTCTAGAGATCCCATCAGTTGCATTAGATGCTGATCCTCTGAAGAGAAATTGCTACTGTTGGTGGAGTGCAAAAGGGTGTTGTCTAAATCAAGGATCAACATCAGCTTCTTCTCCTTCAGAACCCTCTCTGTGTGTTCTCGGCGCAATTCGGCAATATCCCAGCTGCTGAGGTTCACGCCCTTGTTGATGCATCTCGGTGTTTCCGTTAATGATTCGTCATCCGCGAGTTTCTTCAACCGCTTGCAATTTTCAGCCATGTCTTCGGCTGCAAAATCCCCTGTTGAAGTGCAAATCAAATATTCGCGACTACTAATGCCTATTCTCTCTTGGATGTTCTTTCTTTAATTTCTACCGATCTCAGTCTCAAAACAGAATCCTTTTTTATATATAGGATACCTAATCGCTCTTCAACTTTAGAAAATAAGAGTTCTAATCCTAAAAGGAATCCTTAACTTCGTTGTTTGTTTTCTGATATTGCATTGCACCACTATGAAGTACCATGCGAGAAAATAAAAATTAATTTGTGATATAAAGTTTTATTCTGATTAAGTTATTGAACTCACGTCTTTCCTATATGGAAACACCTAAACCTACTTGGATCAGGTTATAATTGATCGCATCATGACAATCATTTCCCCTATACGGATTCAAACTCCAAGTCAGAGAAAGATTTGAAGACGTACTTAGTTGACTTGACGAGCAAGTTATGGACATTTATAGATAAGACATTATAATCTTGCATTTTTTTTTTTTTTGAGTAAGAGGAGACAGAGGTGTAACCTGGTCCAAGAGTAGTGCGACAGAAGAGATATTTTCACATTTTTTATCCCTCCAAAAGATTGTCACTTTTTTTTTGTTGCTATAGTGGATTGATTTTAATCTCGTGGTTCTCATTTATTGAGGGTTTTCCATGCTCTTATGCATGATTCAATTTGTTACGTGCTGTGTTACTTTGGGATTTTTGCAAGTTATAAAAATCCCGACACCATCAAGAGCTTCTCTTTTCCACACAGTAAAAAATAGTTAACACCAGAATAATGAAAATTGAGATCAAAATTTGAAACCAAACAAATTCAAGAAATCTCACCACAATCAACTCGTCGATGAAGACTTCAGTTGTTGCCGAAGATCCTTAGTGAGCTAGGGTTTCGTACTTCGCTCTCTCTAATTTTAATAAAAATATCACCCGCTTTCGAAACCGGGGAAGCGCGAGGGAGGGAGAATTGAGAGAAAATCTCGTCGTCTTAAAAGAGTCGTTTAAATTGGGCCCCAACGAAAATAGGCCTAAGTTCAAATTTCTTATCTAGAGTTCGTACTTGTACTTGTTAGGATACAGTATAGTAACTTAAATATTTATATCTAGTAAGATATTATTATGGATTTGATCTTAGATTTGCAGATGTAACTAACATATTAATGAACTCGGTCTCCCTTATAACAAATGAAATTTTTTAATATTATCTGGTTTTCTCATATCCATTTTATAGAGTTATACTTACTAAAGTATATTTGTATTCATGTTTGTATCCATACCTGATAAGCTTATACGGGTACGAAAAGTATCGTATTCAAGTCGTATATGAACCATTTGCACTCCTAGTCTCCATGTCTTAGCATTACCTCTGATTTGTTTATGAGACTATTCGGATTAAATAAAAAAAAATTGTTGAAGACACTTGTTTCTTTGAAGGAATATTTTTCCCTCTTTATTTTTTATAGCATAATAGACAACAATTCATTTTTGAGTTTTTTATAATAGAACAATGGTGGCTGGCAACATTGGAAACTGGAGATAATTATTAAAACATTAGAAACTGCAGCTCACGTGAATTAAAGAGCTCGAGCTCTCCCAAATTGAGATCCCCAAATTTCCTCCTGAGCTCTCCCTCCCGCTGCGCTCTAGCTCATGCCAATGAGTCTCGACGAGCGCGTCGACGCCGAGGACCCTCGACGAGCTCCCCTCGACCAGCTTCTCACCGACGCCAAAGACCCTCGACCAGTTATCTCCCAACGACGTCGAAGACCCTCGAACAGATCGCCGACGCCAATCAGACTCTCGACCCGCTTTTCGACGAAGCCCCTCGACGAGCTCCCCTCGACGACCCTCGACCAGTTATCTCCCAACGACGTCGAAGACCCTCGAACAGATCGCCGACGGCAATCAGACTCTCGACCCGCTTTTAGACGAAGCCCCTCGACGAGCTCCCCTCGACCGAGTGAATCTGGATTCACTCCAGTGAATCTGGATTCACTCCAGTGAATCTGGATTCACTCCAGTGAATCTGGATTCACTCCAGTGAATCTGGATTCACTCCAGTGAATCTAGATTCATTGGAGTGAATCGAGAGCCATATCTAGTTAATATTTATTTAGTTATTGTTCACAAGTTAGAGTTAATATTTATTTAATTGTTGTTCACAAGTTGGTGGTCTTGTTGTGTTGTGTTGCTGCTGATGTGCTGTTGTGCTGCTACTGAAGTGAAACTGGATTCGCTGGAGTGAATCTGGATTCAATCCACTGAATCTGGATTCACTCAAGCGAATCTGAATTCATTGGTTGTTTGTTGCCCCTATTTTATGAAGAGACATGTTTGTGAAACAATGAATACGAAGGGATGAAGTTTCTTTCGCATCGGTGACTATTTGAAGTGAAGTGAATCTCGATTCATTATAGTGAATCGAGATTCATCCACTATAGTGAATTGAAAATGGCAGAATTGAAAATAAATACATATTGAATACACATCACCTGTCAAAATTAATGTAAAAGGGGTAATTTAAGAAAGATTCATTAAGGAAACACACTGTAATTAATTATCCAGTCAAACACTCTATTTCACGAAACACACTGTAATTAATTAGCAATAATTCCCAAAAACGATAACGCTCGAGATGAAGAAAAATAACTGAAGTGAATCTCGATTATAATGATTCTCGATTCACTAGAGTGAATCTGGATTCACTGTAGTGAATCTGGATTCACTGCAGTGAATCCAGATTCACTCCAGTGACTCTAGATTTTTTTTTTGGGTTGCCTGAGCCGTGAGATCACATGGGGAAATGGAAAACTAAACTTGCATTTATTATTTAATTATTTAATTGTTGGAAATAAAATTACAGCACATGCATTTATTTCTTACTCTTGCATGGAGAACTCAACAGACAAACATTAATTACCTCTCTTTGGGGGCTGTTAATTTTACCTGATTACCCTTTTACAGCTTTAATCTCAGCCATTGGATGAATCAGGATCCAATGGAGAGGATTGGTTTTTAGTTTTTAGGATAGTGAGGTTTTTATTTGAACCTCTCCATATATATATATAACTAAAGGCAAACCTTAAGAATTACTATTTACTATGTAGTATTTTCTGTGGACCACTCTATTGCCAAGCCATACACCCAAGTTGTTGTCCCTTACACATTATCAACGAATTTGAAATTCAAAAGAATTGTAAATAACAGCTGTCCTTCGTTGATAATTAAAAAAACAACACAGATCCCTCTTCTCTCTCCCTGCATGTCCTTCGCTGATAATTAAAAAAACAAACACAGGTCCTTCTTCTCTCTCACTCTCTCTGCAACTCTCTTTCCTCTGCTTTCCTCACTCTCTCCCCTCTTCCCTCTACTCCAACGAAGAAAACTCCTCTCCTCTCTCTGCTCGTAGGTCCATATACCCTCTGGTGCGGGTCCTATTTTTCTCGATCATCATGTGATAGCAAGCTCCCATATTTTAACCCAAAATTCCGTTCCATGGTTCAAACCCTCGCCCTTCTCAGATCCAAAAAGATCCATTTTCCTTCCATGGCTAAAACTGTAGCCCTCCTCAAATCCAAAAGAAACCCATTCATATTTGTTCTCTTCGTGCTCCGCTCTTACTTGCTGTTGATCTCGAACTCCATCTCCACTCTCTTCATCCCGACGCTGATGTAGGCAATCTCATACGCCCCATCTTTCTGATTAGATCAAGCCTCGTAATTTTGGATCTCACCAATTTTCTCTTCGAAAAGAAGAATACCCTTAAGGTAATTTCTGCTTTCGATTCTTCTTTGTGAATTTAGGTTTTTTAAAGTAGTTTTTTTTCAGAATTGTTGATTGACCTTCAGGATATCAAATTCACCCGAGATTCTCTTATTTCAATGGAAAATAGTTCCTGAAATTAGGTTGAAATATTGAACAATATCATCTTGCATTATATTGCACCAATAAGTTACTTGATTTATTTGTAGTCGGCCTCTTTTTTAGGTAGTTTAGTGAGTTGGTCTCTTTTTTACTTTCTTAGCAAGCTAAATACTTGATAAGTTATATATATAAGCTCTGCAAAGCTTTAGAACATGCAAAGGATTTCAATTTACAACTCTAAGACAGGTTTGATTATAATTCACCTAATATTATTTGGCTTTTTATGTGTTCGTTGCCTTACTTTTAATAATTTCTTATGTGTTTGCTTATTGGTTCATGTTATGGTGTTTTCAATCGCCTGTTTGCGTCAAAAGTTGGTCTCGTTGTGGAATTCATTATATCTTCGATCGATTATAATAAATTCAAAAGAAATAGCTTTTTTATAAGACTTCATTTACACAACAAAAGAAAAATTATAACTTTTTAGAAACAAACACAGGATCGTTGTTTGGATCGCTGCTTGCGTGGGATCTTTGCCTGTGCCGGGAGTGCTTTGACTCGTGGACCACTAAATCACATATTCTGATTGAATCGTGAGGGGTTTAGTGATTCTTCCTTCGTTTATCAAAGTAGGAATTTAAAGTGAAGATCTTATCAAAGTAAGACGATCACTCTTCTTAAGATCAAGTCAAAACTCGAATTGTCTGCTCCAAAATGCTCAGCCCCCATCAGTAATGACCCTAGAAGGGTATTTATAGCCTCCAGGAGCAGTTCAAGTAAAAACACAAAGTTTCAGAGGAAACGTGCCCGCGAGACAGCATTTGCTGTCTCGGCGGCCGAGACAGAGTTTACTATCTCGGGTTCCGAGACAATAAACATTGTCTCGGAAAACCCAACTGCCCAGCAGTTTCCACCGTAACTGCTTTCCCACGTTTTAAACTCCGTTATTTTGACAGTTATCCACGTGATTCTCGCCCATGACGTTCCCCATGTTCTTTGACAGTTAATGGACACGTGTCGGCAGTTATAAAATAGTTTCTGTCTTTTTTGAGAGCGGGGAGACAGTAAACACTGTCTCGCGTACCGAGACAGTCTACACTGTTCCTTGTGTTCTTTTGATCGTTGGATGATCTCCTTTTGAACTGTATTTGGATATTTTTCAGCATTTTTGACACCTACAGATACCCCCTCCAAAGTATTCTAGACTCATGCTCCAGT